TAATACTGATACTTAGAAACTGCTTTGGGGTTGGGGGGTGGAAACGTGGCTCTGCTCTTAAGAACACTGGCTATTCTTTTTTTTTTAATACTTATTTATTTATTATGTATACAATATTCTGTCTGTGTGTATGCCTGCAGGCCAGAAGAGGGCACCAGACCTCGTTCCAGATGGTTGTGAGCCACCATGTGGTTGCTGGGAATTGAACTCAGGACCTTTGGAAGAGTAGGCAGTGCTCTTAACCGCTGAGCCATGTCTCCAGCTCCGAACACTGGCTATTCTAACAAAAGACCCAGATTCAATTCCCAGCACCCACATAATGACTTAAAGCCAGCTGTAACTCAAGACCCTAGTGCCCTCTAGAGGCATGAGGCATGTATGTGGTACACAAACATGCAAGCAAACACCCATGCACATAAAAATAAACCTTTTTTTTTTTAGATGGGAACTGCTTTGCCTAAAAAGCATTGAGTTCTCATCTGAATTCACAAAGTAAAAGGATAACAGCCTGCCTTGATTTTTATATCTATCACCTTTAGGCATTTAATTGTTAACTTTTACAATATTCTGTTCCAGATTGCCAAAAAGGTGCTTCAGTTGTATCATAAAATGTCAGTTTTGTATTGCATTCCTGGAACAACAGGGCTGATCAATAAATACTTTTATGAAGCAATGCTAGGCAGTAAATAGAAGTTTCTGTCCCACCTGGTCCCACAACCATTCAGTCCCAAATAAACACATAGAGTCTTATATTAATTATAAACTGGCTGGCCTGTTGCTCAGGCTTATTATTAACTAGCTCTTACAATATAAGTTAACTCATAATTTTTATCTATGTTTAGCCATATGACTTGGTTCCTTTTCTCAGTAAGTCAGATTCTTCAGCATCTGGCTGGTGACTGCATCTCTGCCTTTTCTCTTCCCAGAATTCTCCTAGTATGGTTGCCCCACCTATACTTCCTTCCTGGCTTCTGGCCAATCAGCATTTTATTAAACCAATACAAGTGACAAATCTTTACAGTTTACAAGAGCATTATCCCATTGCACTAGGCCTCAAAGAACAAGACTCCCTTCTTCACAAGCTAAGGGCACATATCTGCATAGATGAAGCCGTATGCTGTAGCAGGAATAGTTGTCCTAAGGGAACCAATTGCTTCTCTCAAGCAATAAAGACTTTGAGCCATTTTTCAGAATCAAAATGTGATCAACTAGACCACTTTGACCTTGGATACTTAATTAGCTGTGCTAATACCCCCCTCGATTGTTCCATCCCCAATTGTTCTTTTATCTCTAACCCTGAGTATGGTATCCTAGGCCTGTAAATACAGACTTTGGAAATGAGTTCATCCCTGTAATACATAACAAGACCAGCCTGGTCTACATGGGACCCTGTTCAAAAAGCCAAAGCAACAGCATACCATTAGGTCAGTGATAGAGTACAAAGGCTGTGCACACTAACACCATATATATATGTGTGTGTGTGTGTGTGTGTGTGTGTGTGTATCATAGCTATGAAATGTGGGCTGGAGAAATGATTCAGCACTTAACACTTGATGCACCATCATGAAGTCCAGAATTTACACCCTATCATCCACATAACAAGCAAGGGATACCAAAGGCTTTGCTGGCTTCCAACCTAGTTAAGAAAACATGAGCCTGAAGTTCAGAGAGAGACTTGGCCTTAAAGGAATATGGAGACAGTGATAGAGGACATCCGGTAGCCTTTTCTGGCTTCCACACATGTACACACACACATGCGTGCTGGGGTTAAAGGAATGCACCACCATGCCCGGTCACAAGTTAATTTTGTATGTATAGGTGATTTGCTTGCATTTGTCTGTGTACCACATGCATGCAATGTCCATGGAGACCAGAAGAGGGTGTCAGGTCCCCAGATCCCCTTGGAACTGGCCTTAGAGATAGTTGTGAGCTGCCATGTGGGTGCTGAAAATTGATCCTGGGTCCTCTAGAAAAGCAGCCAGTGCTCTTAAGTACTGAATGTCTCCAGCCCCTAAATAAAATAAATTTTTTGTTTCTTTGTTTGTTTTTCGAGACAGAGTTTCTCTGTGTAACCACCCTAGCTGTCCTGAAACTAGCTCTGTAGACCAGACTGGCCTCAAACTCATAGAGATCCACCTGTCTCTGCCTCCCAAGTGCTGGGATTAAAGGCATGTGTCACCATCACCCAGCTAAAATAATTTTTTGCAAAGAAAAATAAAACTTCATTGGAAAACGATACCACTCGGTAGCTGACCAGTCTTCTATGCAACTCTTTTCAGTCTCTCTTGGTCCTTACTGCCCTATGAGAGGCAGTAGAAGTAGGGGGAAGATCAGAAGAAAATGACGGCTGTTACATCCTTCACGGAAGAGCTGTTGGGAGGGTGACTGAAGCTGCCTGGAGATGCCCTTGGCCTCACCTCTGGTGTAGCAGTCCCCAGAGCATCAGCTCCCAAATCGGAATGTGTATGTCACCTGGGGAACTCGTTATGCAGCAAGCTCCAGAACAGTAACCCTGAGAGTCAGAGTCAAAGGATCTGAGAATGTACTTCGTCTGCAGAACCCTATCGGATTCTGACAGAGGTAGATTCTCTGGTGTAGCTGGTCCTGTCATGTGGACCATATTTCAAGAAACACAGACAGAGAGCAGAGGCAACTGTGTTCTCCTGAGAAGCAGGAAAGGCTATTGCAGGGGTGATGGGAAAAATAATTATCTTCAGTCTCCTCAGGAGACAAGGCTTTAGGCTGCACTCTGGGTGGAAAACAAGAACAAAATGCACACAGAGGATCCTGGGGTTCTGAAGGATGCATGAAAAGACCTCCATGACTGGCCTTCCCTCGCCTCCCTTGGTGCTCAGAGTGTTCATTTAGGGCTACAGGGTATAGAAGAACACCTGGGCAGATTCACTGGGGCCTTTAAAAGGACTTGGCTCCGGCTGAGAAAGATGAAAGACAGCTTCCCTATGGACACCAGCAGAGACACCCAAACCAGGAATGCTGATGGAAGTTGGGAGAGCCACTTGAGGAGTGTGTGCTGCGACAGGAACACTGGTGGGGGCATACATTGATCCACCAGTTCCGAAAAGTGACCGGACCCTATCGTGTTATTCCTGGGTATATATGCCAGAGAAACAATTCTTTTCCATGATCCAAAAAACCTAAAGATCCAGGATGTTCTTAGCAATATTAATCAAACTAAAAATCTATAAAGAATACTAACACCCTTGGGCAGGCAGATAAATTGTGCTACAATACAAGAATTTATTCCATGCATGTTTCAAATGAATGGAACTACATACTACATGGGCAAAGAATAATAAATTATGCTTACAAACCTTATAAATTATAGAATAAATGCATTTGTGTTAAATTACAAAATGAGCAAAGTAGAAAATGTATTGTTTGGGAACTGTGAAAAATATAGAGAAAAAATGTAAAGAAAAGCAAAAAATCATGGGACAAATTCAAAATAGTGGTTACCCTGCATAAGGCAGGACGCAAATGCTTTAGATCTCTTAAGTGTCAGACCATAGGTGTCTGTTTTAGTCAGTATATGATCTATGTACACATACCGTGTAGCCTTTGGTCTATCTATTTCAATATTAAAATAAAAACCTAGCCCGGTTGGTGGCGGTGCACACCTTTAGTTGTGAGCCACCTGTGTGTGTGATGGAAACCAAACA